TGAATCATATCAGATTCCCTCTAACTCTATTATATAACAAATCCAATATTGTGTCTTTATAAGAAGTATAAGTCAACTCATCACAAGTAGTACATACATAATACTTGCAGGAATTTTTAGATACTTGCACCTTGTGGTGCACAATTCAATAATCTCTGCTTTCCTGTTTATACTTACCTTTATTGATTTTTGTGAGAGAAATATACAAAGACAAGTGCCTTTTAAATAGACAGCATTTACTTATAACTATAACTATTCCTAAACTTAAGATTTAGATATTATTTTAAATTCTTGTTATAAGAGAGTTTAGGACTCAAGATGGAGTTAGCCTGAAGAAAAAGGCTACCTTTTGCTGCCATGTCTGAGGTAATTCTCTAATGTGTGCTTTCTCATGTACTTCTGAGCAGACATTCTCAGCAAGAAATCAGATATTCTCTCTCTCTCTCTCTCTCTCTCTCTCTCTCTCTCTCTCTCTCTCTCTCTCTCTCTCCCTCCCTCCCTCCCTCCCTTAGGGAATTACAAATAAGGAGCCTGAAATAATTTTTTTCAGGAGATCCACTATTCCTCTGAAAATTCGGAAGACATTACAATTTATTTTTGTGATATTCCAAAGCAGTTATTCTAAATTTTCAGGTTGAAATAATACTGATGACTGGGTTCCCTCCCAGAGATTATGATTTAATTGGATTGTGCATTGTCCTTGATAAAGTGATTTTTGAAAGCTCCCAGGTTGTAGTAACTGAAGTCAAAGTTGAGAACCATTGTCTAAATGAATAGAATTACTGGGAAAAAAATCTGTGTTATTCAATATTTTTGATTATCCACAGTTAATTCAGTACTAACCAAATGCTATGAGGGACTTAAAAATATCTATCCTTTTATCTGAGGAGATAAAGTGAGCATATAAAAAAATAGAGCAGCATATGGCATGGCATAAGTGATCATTTGTATAGTAGTAATTTGTATAACCCTAGTAATGGTTATACAAATTCAAGAAAAAGAATATACCTTTTTGGTTAAAATGTGTGTGTGTGTGTGTGTGTATGTTTGTGTGTGTACATGTAATATTAAAGATGAGTTGGAATTAACAAATGTATAAGCAACTTTGGGCCTTAATAAAATTAAATACTACTTGGATTTTACATTTCATTTCTCTTAAAAGATTTCTTCCAATAATTCCAATGTATTTTAATCTAACAAAAAAAGGAAACATCATATCTCCAGGCTGAGTTAGACTATTAAATAACCATTTATCATTTATTCAATATAATCAATCAGTCTGTGACAAATTCCTTTTTGATAAAATATTCATATTAGTTATAAGTACTCTTTCTGTGCTAATTTGTAATGCTTTAGGACAAAGTTTTAATATCTGGACATTGAACCATTGCTGGCAATTAAAATGTGTGAAGGGCAATACATTACTGTGGTCCTGATTTCTGACAAATGAGAAATAATTTAATTATCCCCTTGTAAACTTTGACATGTGAAGAAACCATGTCTTTATCTATTATTGATAGTTACCATTATCATTAGTTATGAAACAAATGGTTACATAAATTAATTCCATACATTGTATTAATTTTAAACTTCTGGAACAATGCCTCTCTCTCTCTCTCTCTCTCTCTCTCTCTCTCTCTCTCTCTCTCTCTCTGTGTGTGTTTGTGTGTGTGTTTAATTAACATAGATTAAACAGATTAAATCTTCAATGTTGCAGAAAATATGCAGAAGGACGGTATACATCTTTTTTTTTAATGTGAGGAGGAAGCTTAGAGTATGAGAATCCTGTGAGGAATACCAAGATGAACAGCATAACTTGTAATGAAAAGATATTTTAACTTTGGCAAATAAACAAAGCAATACTTACACATGAAAGAAGTAGGTAAAAAGCAGAAGTTGATGAATAATTTGCAAAAAGAAAAATTTTAGGTAGTGTTTTCATATGAATGGTGGTAATAATTTCCAATGAAGATGACTGAATTTAAACAACCAACATGTGTGGCGTTTGTTTTATTGCTATTCCCTTTAAAGCCGAGTTTAGAATTACTAATGAGATCTTCAGTTAGTCTTACTACCAAGAAGTGCTCTGTTCCTTGACCATGAAAAAGCACTGTACAGACAAGATGCTAACTATTCACTTAATAATGAGACTATCTGATTTGGGGTTTGTTTGATGCTTTAGCTCTTGATCAGACTGGGATTATGAGTTGTTAGAAATACTACCCAAAGGCTGAAGTATGTAATAAATCCATGTAGCATATCACAAATGGTGTTAATCAGCATCACTTGGGTAAGGTGGCATTAACCAGATTTTAGATTTCTCCGTTTTTTTTTTTTGGGGGGGGGGTAAAAAGGTGTTGCTTAACCACTGAACCATATCACCAGCTCTTTTTAATTTTTATTTTGAGACATGTTCTCATGAAGTTGCTGAGGCTGGCTTTGAACTTTCAGTCCTCCTGACCCAACTTCTGGAATTACAGGTCTGCATCATTGCATCTGGCCAGACTTCTCCTTTTTAAAGTGATTCTTTCCCCCTTTCCATCATCTTTTCTTTGAAAGGGAGTCAGTAAATTCAGCTTGGACTCAAAAGAGAGGGGACTGGGTTTTATCTTCTAGAGGGCAGTGTATACACATATATTATTTTGAACTATTTTTAAAGGAAGTAATGCCTATGAGGAAAGAGGTTTTAAAAGGAAGATGTGATCATGTTCTATGGTAAAATTTATGTTGAAGATGTAGCAAAAATTTTCATCAATTTATAAGTTATATTTTATAAGTTTATATATAATTTATAAGTTATATTTTTGTTTATTTAAGTAACTTTTTTAGTTGTAGATGGACACAATATCTTTATTTTATTTATTTATTTTTATGCAGTGCTGAGGATCAAACCCAGTGCCTCAAGCATGAGAGGCAAGGACTGAAACACTGAGCTACAACCCCAACCCAAAATATATTTTATGAAGAGCAGTTTCAACTTAATTGTGAGGATTAGATATAGGTAAGTGAAGGGAAAAAAATTAATAAATGAGGAGGAATTAAAGTTAGTATATATGCACACTTCTTTAGAGATACTTAGATAGGAGGAGTAAGGAAGCATAGCCCACAATTCATGTGACACTGGTAATCACATTCAGTTATTTCAGTGCATTGTGTTCCAGGAAAATTGTTTTCTATTTTATTTCAGGATTTTAGTGATCTTAGTCATAGTGAAAACAACATTCAGTATCCTCAACTTGATTAAATTCATTAAATTTAAATCACAAAGATCATATATCAAAATCCAAAGTTCTCATGGATTTCATTAGTTTATAAACATGCATAGAACAGATTTCTGTGTGTAAGAAGCAGATCCAGAAGAAAAAGATGATGTTCTGTTTGGAATCAAATTAGAAATTATAAGTTTGCTATTAGCATAGGTCAAATCTAAGTAGATAATGTGACCCTGCTGAACAAAGCCCTGTGCTTATGTATGTCATATTGAATTAACTTTGTTTTTTACAATTACAGGAGGCCTGACATCTTTTTTTTCACAAGTAGTTTTTCCAGGAACCTATTTTTTTCCAGTAGCCACATTGGAGATATATATCTTGGTAACGACAATGGTAAGCTGAAATAAAAAATAAAAATGTTAGCAATTTCATTATCATTTCACTCCAAAGTAACAATACAAGATTCAATGTTACTGAGAGAAGGGAAGTGAGCAGATAAATTGACATCAATACACTGTGATGCCAGTTTCATATCTAGAGGAACATGTGAAGTCCTGAGTTAAAGTCCCATTATTTCATTCTTTATTTTAAATTTGAACTTTCTGAAATGTTTCTAAGAACTATAGACAAATTTTCATATTTCTTGTTCCCAATAGCCTGCATTACTCATGGGCTGGTTGAGAGGTACAATTGTGTGAGAATTTTTATCAAATATTATATATTCAATGAGTACAAAGTGATGCTTCTCAGAATCCTCTCTACATCTAAAGATGTTTAACTTGAAAAATGCAGCAATAGAAGCAATGTTTGTTTTCAAAGATAACATTCTAAAATGGTCTCTTACAATTTTATTGTCCATTTTATGGATCATAAATAAATATTGTAAATATTTATTAATTTACACACAGGTTCTTTGGTACTCTGAGTCACTATGTTTGTTTGTGCTTGGGCTTGCCATCCATTGGTCATTCTCTGCTGACCTTCTCCTCCATCCCTAAAAGAAAGAAAGAAAAGAATGTATGCACTTTATGACTCAAACTTCGATGGTGAGTAATGTTTATAGTTAGATTGATATTTTGGTTTATATCACTATACATTTTCTGCACAGTCACCTTCCAATATTTTATCACAATCAAAAAATATATATTTTATATGACATTTTTCTGCTCCAAAGAAATATAGAGAGTATATCTACCCTAAGTATCTAAAAGTTCTAAGACAATGTTTTATATATGCATACAGAAGGTATACCCAAAGATTTTAATAACTGTTCTATTCTAAATATTATATAACATGTTAAGTCTTGAGATTAATTTTATAATACTAATGAGCTGCATGCTTCATTTCCATGTTCTTTTCTTTATCCTTATCAAATAAATTTGGGAGACATGTGGTTTTTGAGTAAGGGCCCAAAAGTGAATACAGTTTACACTAAATAGCATGGATCCAACAGGGAATTAACTTGATCCTACATCAGGAGGGAGAGAAAAATGAGCAGAAAAACACAGTAGCATTTCACTGGATGCCTTTGGGTTTGGTTTTACATCTGTTATCATACCTGAAATTGCTCCACAACCTGACAAGTTATTTAGTCATTATAAAGAGAAATTAAGAAATTCTGACCTGAACATAACACAGCTCAAATAACAAACTAGAGCAGCACTTCCTAAGCCACAAAGTTATGAGGTGTCTTTTGCCATCTGCCTGCTCTTACACAGTTCAGAGTGTCTCAGCTACCTTCTTTGCATTTCTAACTCTTACCATCTTTGGCAGATTGCTGGCAGTGGGAGAGTCTGCTTTCCTTAGTTTACTGTGTTCATTTACAATTCCCCTTTGGAGTTTCATCAGTGTGGTTGACAAAGCAGTTAATGCTTGATTCTGAAGGAAAATAAAAGTAGAATTATTTCTAGTACATTTAAAAATGACATATAATTGTGGATCAGGCTTTGATGCTTCAAGAGAACAAAGATAAATTAGAAAGCATTCAATTCAAGATATTATTGGTTGTTAGCATTTTCAATGAATCCGAGCCAAAGCTATGACTCTCCAATAGAAAATACTCTACTAAGGCTTCAAGGATGAGGATGTAATTCATAGCAGGATATATAACTCCTCCAGTGTCATAAATATTCATTTTATTTTAAGTGCTATCTTCATGTGATCTTTCTGAATACACGAATAATGACACATTATAATAGCCAAGGTAAATGTTATGAAGCATTAATATATTCCCATTCAATTAGTATGCAACCTAGAAGTATTAACAGTGGGGCTGTGACATTACTGCAAACATTAAGAGAAACATTTACCTGACCAGTGTCTGGTATCTACAGAAAGCCTGGTTAGGCCCATTCCAAGTGCACCTGATGTTTCAAATTTTAGTAAAAGCATTCCAGGTATTAGTGAGTAAATTATATGGTATCACAGGAAAGGTAGATTTGCCATATTAAACAAATTTTCAAGGCAACTGTGAGGTAATGAAGCCATTGGATTAATGGTCCATTACTGGCTTGTTTTTTTAATTAATGGAAATGCAACTGAAAAGGATTAATTCAGATGCTGATGTTGGAGTTTATATATTTCTGTATGTGTGGGTGTGGAGAGTGCAGTAGGTTTGTGTAGACTGTTCAGATAAGAGAGAAGACCATTTTGATGACCTAAAATTATATGTTGTACTGTTTGTAGGGAAATACAAGATTTTTAAGTGTCAGTCTAAAGTGGAAGGACCACTGGTGAATTTTATCTGACAGGTTGTGTTATAGTTTGGATGTGAAGTGTCCCCCCCAGAGTCCTGTGTTAATGCAGAAATGTTCAGAGGTGAAATGATTAGATTGTGAGGCTTATAACCTGATCAGCCCATCCTACTATGAATGGACTGAATGTTAACTGTTGGCAGGTGGGGCATGACTAGAGGAAATCAGTCACTCCGTTGTGCTCTGGAAAGGTAAATCTTTTTTATGGCCCCTTTCTTCCCCCCCTTTTTTTTCCTACCTCTCTTTAATTCCTGACACTGCCGTGAAATGAGTAGCTTTTCTCTGTTGGGACCTTCTGCCATAATGTCCTGCTTTGCCTTGGGCACAGAATAATGGGCTGAACCCCTGACATTGTGAGCCAAAATAAACTTTATCTCGTCTAATTGTTCTTGTTGGGTATTTTGATCACAGCAAAGAAAGACTGACTAAAACACATTGAGATAAGTCATCTGATCCTACAACCATACTGACTATCCTCAAGAATCTGTAACTACTACCCTTACAGATGCAATTACATTTTATTGTCATTATCTAGGATATGTCCATCTCCTCACCCATCTTTGATGTTCCTAAGAACAAGGGACCATTAGTGATTGCCTTGTGCCAACAGATCCAGTAAAGCTACTGCCTCCTAAGGTAGAAGGGATACACATGTTAAACAGTAGGAATGATTAATCTGCATTTTAGAAAAGCATTTATGCAATATCCCTAGATATTTCTTACTGGTCCCTGCAACCTAATTAAAAGTGGTTACATTTAAAACATAAAAAAGTTAGTTCCTGAGAAATTACTAATTATTTTCTGCCTATTACAACATAGTGCCTTGTACATGAAAATTCTGCAGAAGAAATGAAATATATATTTTTAATGAGCACAAATGAAGTTTTTATTACATTACTAGAAGTATTTATTAAGAATAAAATGAAGTATCTATTCTTAAAAACTTTATATTGGATAGGCAATATGAAAGAAATTTATAATTACAATACCACAGATCTGATAGGAGGAATTCTATGAGATATAGAAGAAGGAGTGGTCAATTCTTTAGACTCAAGGTCTTCAATCATCTTTCCTAAAGATGATACTATATTTCTCAGGCATTTACTTAAAAAAAAAGTTTAAAATGTAGAAGAGGAGATAGACCAAAGAGGTGATAGGTGATTTGAAACGGCCATAAAATTGGTATTTTTCAGAAAGAAATTGAAGAGTCAGAAAAATATTTGAATGCAGTCTTAGGTAATAAATAATTTGCCTAAGGAAGACTAGCGACTCTCCTCTACCCAAAGACAAGCAAAGTTTTGAGATCAGGCAGAGGTGCCCAAATTTCCTTCCCTCTTTCTTTCTTTCTTTCTTTCTTTCTTTCTTTCTTTCTTTCTTTCTTTCTTTCTTTCTTTCTTTCCTTCCTTCCTTCCATTTTTCCTTTTCCTTCCTTTTTTCTTTATTTCTTCCTCTCTTCCATTTCAGTTGTGGGGTTTGAGTCCAGTCCTTCACAAGAGCATACTAAACATGTGCTATACCCTGAGCAATAGGCCCAGCTCAAAGCATCAAAGCCTCTCTAACAATCAGAGGCTTTCTGGACTAGGGATGCATACCTACTAGGGGAAATACACAGCCACACACCCAGTCTTTAAAGAGAATGATTGACCTGGTTTCTTGGATTAGTTGATGAAAGTAGCACATTAGAAATGATAAGAATATTTAATTCCTGCATGTACTTATTTTTAAGATTATAGAAAAAAATTCACTTGACACCTTTTGTAATTTTTAAAAATTATGTGCAGGTGTGTAATTTTTTCACACAGTACATAAGAAAATTAGATAAAGCAATATATATGTAGAAGTGATGCTAATTTGAGATTATATAAATATATTGTCAATTATCTGTGGGGATTTTATTGAAAGGGATTCATTAAAACAAATTAGAATAGTTTTGGAGATAGTGTATCTTTTATTGCTTGAAATACATAGGCCTGTACTGTCCAACAGAAATATAGTTCATAATCAATTGCAATAATCAACTTTTGTTAGTGATTTTTAAAAAGGAAAAAAATATAGGTGAAATTGCCATCAATATTAAACTTATTGTGAGATATTCGGTCTCCATTTTTTTTGCACTGATTTTGAAAGTTGCCATTTGTCTTAAATATATGCCCTTCTGGTGACATTCATTACTCAGACTTTCACCTGTCTTGGCATTCCCCGCTGGTCAGCACAGCCGTAGGGTGTGTCAACTACCATGAGCTACCAGTGAGCACTTTGTCTTGTGCCAGATCCTCTATCCCTATTCACTTTTGAAGATGGATCAAGGAGCTGGCAATCTCTCCTGCTGGCCTGAATTGTTCTGAAAATGTGAACAGCCTTACCCCTACCTCATTCTCAGTGTAGACAAGGATGGTCGCAGCACAGCTGTCAGGAACAACTGGGAGAACAGAACACAGGGAATAAAAATCTGCATTAAAGTGTTCAGTACATGAAGTTCAGGGTAAAATGGGAGTGGGGAGTAATGAGCTGCACTATTCCAGACTGATTAGTGGAGGAACAAGGGGGATTTGCCACATGCAGCAGCAGACTCATAGTGGATTGTGCTGCTGAAGCTCATCTCCAGTAGGGCCAAAAAGAACAAGGGAAGTACTGAACTTAAGCCGCTCAAGTACACCTATTAGTGCTAAGGACACCTATCCCACTCCCCCACCCCCAATCAATGACACACTGACCTAGGAAGCCACTGTCTTCTGCAATTTTTACAAAGAATCCACATTATTGTAATTATAGTAATCAACAAAGCAGAAAACCTTCAATAAAAATAGATTAATTATTAACTCTTGAAAGTATCTCTGACTGCTGAACCTAATTCAGTTACATTTCACACAACATAATGTCACTAACAGTTTAGGCATTTTGATATTGTTATATCAGAATAAGCAGAGGGACAGAGGTATTAAGTGACCTACTGATAGCTTCATTGCTAGTTAGTATATTTTGCAGGAAAGAATCTAAGTTTTCTTTTAACTTGAAAATTCACATCTCACTAATTATGTCTTGCTCGTGGAGTAGGTGCTTCCACAATGTTTTGAAACTATAAATTCTATGTCATTAAGATTTGACTAATAACACTATGAAAAAAGTTGACTTTGTTTCTTACAGTTTTGAGGAGGATCAGAGGAAGTGTTAATACAATAACATGAAAATGCTGAAGACAAAAAGGGAAAGCATGGAAAAATTAACTTATTTTGTAGAAAGCAGAGATATAATTTAATGTTGCAAGCAGGCATTTTCAAATGTCACAGGTACTTGATCCCTTATGGATCAGACCTAAACTTTAGTGCTGGCAGCATCATATGGGATAGCTAGAACATTTTAAATAACAATAAGTTGGGGAATTTTCATTGTTGTTGATGATGATGTACACAACTCACCTCTACCCATCTACATAGAGCAGAAAATCTTCCTGTCAAATAAGAATAAATGTCTAGACTCGCCGGTACTACTCTTGGGAGGTTTGAAGAAATATGTAATTTGAAAATATAAAATCATCATATACTACAAGTATTAGCATTAACCTTTCTTACCCTGATACTTGCTCCTTCAGCCAGAAGGGATTTAAAAAATTTCTAACTTGAAGTGTTTGTGTTTTACTATGAATTACAGAGCTAAAGAAGAGCAGATTTTCTGAAGCAGAGAGGTGTGTGCTTGAGTTAAGCTGCACATATTGCTCATTCTTCACATGAGCAATTCTCATTCTTCATATTATAAGCATGTGGGATATGCTCACTTGAAAAAAAGGCAATTATTTTCTCAATAGACATAATATCACTATATTTACTGACAAAATAACAAGCCTTAGGGAGTAAGAAGGAAAACAATGGGCTCTGGAAATTCATCCCAATAACAATAGGTTTTGAACTTTTACCTACCTACTATAGGTAAAAGTATTTTTCCTGAAAAATTATTTTTCTGATTTAGACTTTGAACCTGCACAGCTAGTTTCCTGATTGCCCAAGTCTCTAATGACTAAATCATACTAAACATTCTGCTATGATTAACTCTCATTAAAACCTACAAGAAACAGACCTCTCTAGTAACCAGTTGTCATTTTCTCCCCTGAAAATGGGCTATTCCACTGCTGCTTAATAAAGACAGCTTGCTGATCTGTTAAGGCTTGCTCCCCTTTAGGTTATTTTTGCTTACAAGAAGAACTCATTTTAGCTCCTGCTCACACCTCAAGACAACCGCTGTTCCCCATTCATTGGAAGATTCTGCCCTTGCCCTGGTGCCACATATTAGCAAGATGTCATCAGGGAAATATAATAACCATTATTTGTGAAGAACTGAAGAAAATAAAGATATGTGAATAGTAGTCTCAGTGTTACACCTCCATTTCCTCCCAACACTTGGGTTGTACACACATAAATATCCAGCATATTTGCTAAGAATTGCCTGTACATTATTGCTAACAAATTAATCATATTTTCCTCTATACATTTTTGTTCTTTTTGAAAATATATATGTAGGGATTCTAATTAGTAACACATTTTTGTCATGATTTCCTTATTAACGTGTTTAATTTTGCCATTGGATATTCTACTTTGGAATCATATTTATAGTCTTGATATAACTACTTGATCATGATATTTTTAACCTATATTTCAAATTGGTGAGTACATCATGATGCTTTGTGCTCCAGATGCTGCAAGTGGACCTATAGGACTTGTTTACTCAGCTGGATTTCAATCTTGCTTTGGTCCCATCCCTTGATTCTATGCCCCTACTTTTGTAAATGAAAAAGTTTACTTTGTACCTTTATATATTGGATACTTATAAATTGCTTTTATTTTTTACAGGAGCTCACAATGCAAGCTTGTCCTGAGTCTCAGAGGAGATTTTGGACTTGAACTTTTGGGCAATCTTGAAACTGTTGAGAATATAGGGATTCTTGGAAATGTACTAAATGTATTTTGCATTGTGAGATGGTCATGAGCTTTTAGGGGCAGAATATTATGGTTTGGATGTGCAGAGCTCATGTGAGTTAAAACGCAAGAAGGTTTAGAGGAGAAATGATTGGGCTGTGAGAGTCTTAATCCTATCAGTGAATTATTCCCCTGATGGATTTAACTGAGTGGTAACAGAAGGCAAGTAGGGTGTGGATGGAGGAGATGAAGAATGCATTTTTAAGGTATATATTTTGTATCTGGTGAGCAGAGTCTTGCTCTTTCTGCTCATCATGTGAGCTGCTTGCCTCCATCACTCTTCCACCATGATGTTCAGCCTCACCTTGAGCCCTGAGGAATGGAGCTGGCTGTCTATGGACTGAGACCTCTAAAACAGTGAGGCCCAAAATGTACTTTTCCTCCTTTACAATTGTTCTGGTTGGGTCTTTAGTCACAGCAGTGAAAAAGCTGAGTAAAACAGTTAGAAAACATCTAAGTTTTTGGGTCCATTTTGAATTGAGTGTGTTTCACAAAGTAAGTTGTATTTTATGTTGATAATCATTAAAAATATTTTTCGTTTCAAGGTCATTGCTATAGTTTTTTTCACCAACATCAAACTATAAAGCAAGTATGACTTCTTATTTTTATTCTAATCATGTCTGTATTAATGCATAATCATGTGTCCGTATCAGTGAAAATTTCTGATACAGGAACAACCATAGTTTTCCATGTTTCTATTAAAGATAATTTTAATATAATTATTTACACAAGTCATAGAGATAAAAATTAATTGTTACTAATTTAAGAATAAGAAAATTTATCTAAATATTTCATTGCATAAATTAGCTTTTGAGTAGGTGCTACTTATATTTTCATTTTTAGTTTAAAAAAATTTATCAAAATAATTACCTCAGTGAAAGTTATCCATAGAATTTGAAATCATAAAAAAATAAAGTGCATTATTTGGCCACCAACAAGTTATAAAATGTTCATTTTGAAATAAATTACTACTTACCATTGATTCTCCTGTAAGGATGACTTATCTGTTTCATCTGTAAGAGGGAAGGTGAAGAGAGAGAGCTAAGACCAGTATAGATTACCCATTTTTTCTGTTTTGGCATAGTTGGATTATGTACATAAATCTTGACCAATGATGTCTAGAACATTTATCATATAAACAATCTCAAATTTCATAACTATATGTCTTAATAATTTTTTTGTGCTTTGATGACATGGCTACCTTCTACAAATTTCTATAAAATTTTTATTAACATACTTTGTTCTTTGAAACTGAGATGTTATTAAAATATATCTAATTTTTGCCAAGCAATACTTAGAAAATTCTTAACCAAATTATTCTCATCATAGAATAAGAGTTTTTAGAATTGCTTCTATTACAATATATCAAAGATTATGATTTTTGTGAACTTTAGGGACACAAAATTTTTATACAGATATCTAAAACATTCATTTGTAATCTGTTATATGTAATTATTTTGGAAATGATTTTATATTTCACCTTGGTAAATAGAAAGTATAGGTTTTAGTGTCTTTTGGAACATAATGGCAACAGAGCTTATGGCTATGTTTTTGTATGCCTATATTAACTAATTTTGCTGGTAGTTTGAGGTTCAAAATAATACTGAGCTACATGCTAAATTATGGTCATTAAAGTCTTTTAATCTACAGATGGCTTTGATTGTTACAAGCTTGTTGCCGTATCACACAAGTGAAATGGGATGGACTAATGATAAGAGATTCCCTGTACCTCTAATGGGCAATGATATTAACTATTGTTTTTTTTTTTAAATAAATGGAGGAATATGAATTGGTTGCACATACACAGCCCTGGTAGGAATTTCTAGATGCACATGTTAGTATATAGATTGAACCATGTTTTCCACAATTCAATGATCTCTATTCATTTTCATGTTTATATTATATTCACCTTTATTAATTTGTATTAAGAAATGTATAACTCAAACTGCCTATTCCATAGACATGCCATTTAATTGGTGTTACTCCAAATTAGGGAATTATATGTGTAAGTGCATATATAGAATATCTGAATTGCAAGTTATTGATGTTTAATTTTCTTCAGTGAATGATCAGTTTCCATTTCTGTCTCTTATTGTCTTTGTCTCTCACTGTCTCTCTCTTTCATACACACCCACCCACCCACACACACACACACATACACACACACACACCTTAAGTTTTTTTTTTTTTAATCAGAAACTGAGACACTGATCAGATAGTCTGTGATTTGTAGATGAGATGCAACTCAGCAAAAAATCTGTGATGAAGTGAGTTAGGACAGGGGGGTCAAATAGTTAAAGAAGATTGTGGTTTCAAGGAAAGTCTAGCCGTACCTGAAAAAAGGGGTTAGTTCTTCAAATAGCATGGCTTTTTAAATAATTATTACAGAAATTATAAAAAATTTGTGGGGTATAGTAGGATAATTTTCTACATGTATATACTATGTAATGAGAAAACAAATATGGTAGTTAACATTTCCATCTCAAGCATTTTTTCAAATATTTGATTAAAATGTAATAATTGCGAATATTTATGAGGTAGACTATACATATATAAAATGTATTCTTATGAAATCAGGATAATTTACATTTTCATCTCTTTAACTTTACATTGCATTTGGTACCTTCAAGCTCTTTTTAGTTATTTACAAATTATATAATAATGAATTTATTACTTTTACATTACCATGCTTTGGTACCTGTTATTCATCCATAGCTATCACCTTGTCAGCCTCTAGAAATTGCATCTCTATATTCATATTTGCTGTAGTTTGGATTTTTTAAATTTACAATAGAGTGTTCATTTCTATTGAAATTTCTGCAGCACATAATTTTAAAAAATTATTTGTTCTTTTAGATATACATGTCAGTAGAATGCATTTTGTCATATTATACATACATGGAGTATAAGTTCTCATTCTTGTGGTCGTACAGAATGTAGAGTTATACTGGTTGTATATTAATATATGGACATAAGAAAGTTATATCTGATTCATTCTACTGTCTTTTTTATTTCCATCACACACCTCCATTTATTCCCCTTTGTCTTATCCAGTGAAATTTATTCTCCCCACCTTTATTATTTGTAAGCATTCACATAACAGAGAGAACAATCATCCTTTTGTATTTGGGATTGGCTCATTGAACTTAGCATGATAGTCTCCAGTTTCATCCATTTACTGGCAAATACCATAATTTCATTCTTCTTTATGGCTGAGTAATATTCCATTGTATATATGTACCACATTTTCCTTATCCATTCATTTGCCTTTCTGACTAGAGTGAGATAAAATCAGTGTAATCTCAATTAGCATTTCTCTAATTTTTTAGAGATGTTGAAAATATTTTTGACCATTTGTATTTTTCTTCTGTGATGTGTATCTTCAGTTCCTTTGCCCATTTATTAATTGTGTTATAGATTCATCTATCTACTCATTTTTTGTACTGGGATTGAATCCAGGGTCACTTAACTAATAGACCTCATCTGCAACTCTATTTTATATTTTATTTAGAGGCAGGGTCTCCCCGAATTGCATAGGGCCTTGTTAATATGAATATTTATAAATGTACATGAACCGTTAAGGTCACAATTAAACAGAGAAAATACAAAAGGGGTGGAAAGATACCAATGAAAAGTTAAATAATTGTTTCCATTGGATTTCAAAAGATTCTCAGCTTCCCTTCTCAGCAATGTTTGATGGGGTCTTCTGAAGTGATTCTTATTCTACCCTCAAGGTGGGATCTCTGGAGAGAAAAATAATCACACAGGCAGAACACCTAAAGACAGGTTTAGGCTTACGTAGCCTTCAGGTTCTTCACTGAATGTCAACTTGCCTAAAGATTTTAAATCAGTGCACTTCCCAGGCCAGCAATTGCTGGTCTATACTAGAAGACTGCACCCCAGGGATCTCCCCTGGGTTGCACTTATGTGGTGCAGGAGCCAATTCTTAGTTCACTGTGTCACTTGCAGGCCCCATGTTTCCTGGCCTCAGGTTCAGTCTCCAAACTCAATCTCTACCACCCTCACTCTTTCAGATTCTCAGCCAGGTGCATCTCTCCCAGCAGATCTGGCAAGCACCTGGATTGGAGGGGACTGGGGAGAACCAGGTGGGTTTCCATGACCAGTAGTCCCTTGTTTCAACCTCTCTCCACATTTGATTTTCTCCTGTTCACTCTAGAACACTCTATATTATTCAGTGTGGTTTGCCAGGCTCATATTTCAGGCCAGACTCCTCAGGTTTGCCAGGAATCAGCTCCTCCATCTGCCCGCCCCTGGCCTGTGGCTGTGAAATGGTTCCTTCCTCTGTCCTGTGCATGCAGCCTAGAGAGGTGGGGCTTTTTTTCCTGCATAAGGATATTGTGCAACATGCCTTTCAGTTTAGTTGGGCAGTGTCTTTGATCTCTAAACTCTCTGTACTCAGTTATGCCTCAGGCCTCCTAAAAATGTGAGTTCCTTTAATTCCCTTATTTCTCCACTTTGCCTACAGAGGGACCACTCTTACTGTTCCCTCCAGCCATGACAGCAGCTGTGGCCCTGGGGATTTCTTCCTTATTTAATTATATCCATCCTCTTATGTCCCAGATCTGCTTTGAAAGACCAGTATTAAATTCCAGTAAAATCCCTCCCCCTTTCTTTTGCTCACCCACTTTGCTGAGAAGTCCCTTATCAGCTTTCTTGTTTTCATGCCATGGAGCAGTCAGGAAAGTGACCTTCTCTATTCTGCCATCTTGAAAACATCCCACAGCACAGTCTTTACTCTCTGCATTACTATCAACATTCTAGTCTTCTGAACTCTCCCCAGAAACACTTTAAATCTTATAATATTCTGAGCTTTTACTAGCCTGTTTCTCCAAAAGTTTCCAAATTTCTCCCCAAAATCAATATCGAAGACTTTTGAACCACATGGTAATGTATAGTCACATCAATCAATCCACTCCTGGTACCCATTGTCTATATTTGTTGTTGTCACAAAACACTTGAGAAAATCAACTTAAAGGAGGAAAGACTTATTTTGTCTCATGATTTTATAAGTTTTTTTTTTTCTGTGGTCTCTTGGCCCTGTTACTTTTAGGCCTATGGCATTGTCTCATGATAAAAGTACATGACACAGGAAAGCTATGTAGCTCATGGTGGCCAGAAAGCAAAGAGAGAAAGAGAGAGTGGATATTGTCAAATGGAACCTTCAAAAGCATGCCTGCAGTGACTTACTTCCTCTAAATAGGTCCCAGCTCCTAAAGTTTCTGCCACCTTTCAGCAGTGCACTGATTTATGGATTCATTAATAAATTAACCCACTGATGAAGTCACAGGCTTCAGATCCAACACCTTCTAAAGGCTCCAACCCCGAAACGTGCTTTTAGGACCAATTCTTCCCACAGAAGCTTCTGCAGGACATTTCAAATTCAGACCATAACAATGGGCAGCATTCCTGTACCATACAATATATCTCTATCCCAGAAAGATGAAAATATGAAAATTCGACCAAAGTAGTTACAAATTTTCACACACACACACACACACACACACACACACACAGCTTTTTCAAGTTCTTCCTAGACTTTGGCCTTCTAATCATTATGCTTAAGAATGTCATTCCTTGCCACAAGTCAATGCTTATGTCAGTGGAACTAATTCTTAACCTTTTTTTAATATGACTTCTCATTCACCTTTAAAATGAAGGTTGTAGATTAAATCTAGTTGTAAATTTCTACGTTTTAAAGGCTAAAAATTATCTCTGAAATACTTACATTCTGAGTGAGAAAAATCTAGATTTCATCAGGTTACAAATTTCAAGCTTGGTATTTTAACATTTATTCCAACTTATTTAAAATAGAAGTGACCCATGTTCATGTTATTGTAAATTTAAGCCAGAAATAATTTTTATGACCTTCCTGGGTTCGGCAAACAAATTAAAATTATACGTCTTCTTGTAAAGATCACTTTGTGTGATGTCAGTCATATTGTTTACTTAAGTGATAATATCGTTGGCAAATTTCTTTTATTAGGAGAAAAGA